ACATTTTAACAAGATCCCCGTAATGATTTGTATATACATTAAAATTTAAGAAGCAGTGCTCTAGATTATATTGATTTGAGAAGTCTAGATCATTATTCTTTAGGGAAATGGTCAGACTTTTGTTGAAGTTTCTTCAAAAGATGCTCTTCTTCACTGTCCTAAAAACCAACTCTGCTATGCAGAGGGGTTCCTTTGCCAAATAGACCTGATCCAGTTTTTCTCCAAGGGGAAGAAAGAACAAGTTACGTAGGTTAGTGGAAATTTTAAAATCACCTCTTATTTCTCATTATCTCTAGGAGAGGAGAAAATCTTTAGCTTTTTTTTTGTAGCTGCATGGGTGTGCAATAGGAAATAATTCTCTCTTCTTAGGAGGTGATTAATACTGCAGTGGGTAAACTAAAAAGAATGGCAGATTTTCTGAGACTGCCCGGAAGATTCTAGGATAATAGGAGTGTCCCATTCTCTCACAGTTCACAAACATTTTAAGTAGATTCTCTGATTACTCCTTTGCTCAAAATGAATGTTACTGCTTACTTCTTGCCTCTTCTTTCATTGTCCACGAAGACCTTTTTAAATTTAAAAGGTACTATGTATTAGTGTTAAAAATTCAAACAATACCGAAGTTTCTGTAGAAAGAAAATTTGTTCATCTCTCTGTCATTCTATTCCTGCCTTAACCCCACTCCCCAGAAGTAGCCACAGTTAATAGTTTGGTATGTAGCCTCCCAGGCTTTCTTGTTTGCGTTCTCATATATACATGCACACAAAAAAATTTAAATGACATCATACTGCAATGCTGTTTTACAAATTGCATTTTGTCCCATGTAATATATCCCAAGTTGCTTTAATGTCAGTTTTCAAATTATTAGCATGATGATAAAAATTCATTACAGAAATATAAGGTATCCATTAACAAACTACTCTCTACCAGATGGTAGGGGGAGAATAGGAAAATAATGGCTGGAAGAACTTGATATAACTAACTTTTTCTTTTTAATTGTACTTCAGGTGA